GAGAGAGAGAGAGAGAGAGCATACCAGGGGCCACAACATGGCACACCTAGCATCGCATCTCTCCCAGCCTGCCATTTACTCACCCTCAGTGGCGCGTGCTGCCGCTTCCACCGCCAAGGATTGGTCCTACATAGACGGCTGGCTGCGGACAAAATTTCGAGGCCAGAACGTTCCTCCTTTTGAACGCAACGCCGACACGCTAAAGGCGCTGCTTGCTCTCGCGGCCCAGAATGAAGCCGCAGACGAGGAGCGCGAACAATTAAGTCGCATCGAAGCCGCTGTCCTTAACGACGTCAAGACTGCCGAGGCTGAGGCCGAGGCTGAGGCTGATGCTGTCGCCCGTCGCCTTCAGAAGACGGAGCTTGACGACGACGACGACGACGATGATGATGATGATGATGATGATGATGACGACGACGACGACGACAACCACAACAACAACAATGGCGGCACCTCCATTGATGCCACCTCCTTCGCAAATGATATCGTGTCGGCCCTGGAGAACTCTCTGTCAAAGGATGGCGCTGTCGCCCTAGACGCCATGGCTTCTGTTGCCATTGAGCTCGGCCTGCCCTGTCCCACTCCGGAAGAGCTGGGCTGCAAGTTTGTCGAGTTGCAGGCCCGGGCCTACGAGTTGGAACAGGCAACCGAACGCGTTGGTCTGCTGCAAAAGTATCTTGAGCGGGAGTCCTCAAAGGCAGACACCTTTCTCCGGGACCTTCAAGGCAGCGAGTTCATCCCTCCTCCCAATCTCGCCAAGCAGAATGCGGACCTCCAGAGCCGAGTCAAGTCCACGGCCGAGCAGCTGCCCGAGTTGTGCGCTCAGGCTGCGTCGCTCGAGGCATCCATCGGCGCCCCCAGCTTGACCGTGGACGAGGTCAGGCAGGACGAGCAAGACTATCTGGCTATTCTTGGCAAGAAAAAGGAGATGGACGCCAGAGTCAAGGCCTTTGCCGGTCTACCACCTGACTTGGAGGCGGCAAGACAGGAACTGGAAGCTCTCCGCTCCCAACTCCGTGCAGCAACGCAGAAGCGCGATGCTGGCTGGGAAGGTTTGGTCGAGCGGGAAAGCCCTTTCAAGCCTCGCAGCAGGAGACCCAATTAAGAGTCTTTATTCACACACACACACACACACACACACACACACACACACACGTGCACACATAAAGGGTGACTGGACCTAGCTAGACGTTGGAGAGCCATTCATCAATCGCAACCGATATAGCTGAATGCATCAAGTATTGAATACTGCTTCACGTCCCGTGCCACTAGCCATCAAGCAAGCAAGCAAAAAGAAAGAAAAAGAAAGAAAGAAAAAAAGAAAGAAAGAAAAAAAGAAAGTAACAAGAATAATGTACTGACTGCCTAACTGGCTGGCTGGTTGGCTGGCCGCAATGAGATTCGAGATTATTTATTGGCGGAAGTCCTTGTTGGCTCCCTCCATCCCTCCATGGCTTGGATCATGTAGAGCATGATGCATTATGTTGGTTGCCGCTGTACAGGTTTTGATACTACACATGGAAACGCCAACTTGTTGCAAATGAGGCTCGTTCCAAATTTATCCAGTCACAACTGGAGCACAGTGGCCAGTGTAAGCAATATATTTCCATCAACTGTCGGGTATTTACCCATGGCCGTGCTTGAATTTTCGCCTGCTACTCCAAAGGATTCGAGCGCATGACATGTGACTGACCCGTCTGCTCTCCCTACTGTATCTCACTCCCGTCCACCCCTTCGACCCCTCGACTCCTCGTTCCCCTCTCTCCGGCGCATCTGTACGGTCTGATCTGCTTGCTTGTTCGGTCCTATGGTGTTCCTATCACGATACTACTCTATGTCGGACCAAACACCTACATCGTATATAAATATAATCTTGACCGATTTGTGGTGGGCTGCGTGCCTGGCTGGCATTGATGGCTGGTTGTTGGTCCTGCTCCCCCACCACCCCCCTCGCCTTCACCCAATCATCAACCATCAGCAAACTTGGCTCTGTTTGTCCACGGAGTCACATTTTATCATCCAAAAGAGGATAATAGTGGCCTCAATTCACGTGCCTCATTGGATATCCAACCTTGGTTCGCATCCCTGTTGATATATACATGCCTTTGCATACTCGGGCTAGTTACATACTACTGTAATATGTGCCTGTGTATTTTTGTCCACGGTGTCACCCGGCTATCTACTGACGCCATGTCACATCGCCCCGACTAATATCAGGCGACATAACAGGACCATTTTCCGCCGCCATACTTTCTTTTTTCTCTCTGCCTCGTGAAAGTCCCTTGCTGGTCGGCCACAATAATGGCTGGATGCAAACATGGTCTATGATCTAGCATTGTCGGACCCCGAGGCATGTTCCCAGGGCCATGGGTATTGTAATACAAATTATCAAAACCCTCGAGCGTCCAAGTTGAAGGTCCCTCCCTCCCCTCCTCCTCCCCCCAGTCGATCCATCCAGCCAGAGAGCCCAGACCTTTCCGTCGCCCGGCCCTTGATTGACCCAAAAACACGTGCTTGACAAAACAGGAATACGACTTCAGCCAGAGTCGTATTTCTGTCACTCCATGGATTGCCAATTACCCCATTTGTCTAACAAGAGCCCTGTCACTGTCAGGACAATGGGCAACACTGAACAACAGTCTTTGAATCAGTCAGCATTTCTGTAATCATCCCCCCACCCACACCCGACGAGAGGTGAAAATTGAGGCAAACGGTCCCTGTGAAGAGATATATATATATTACATGCATCTATACTGGAATCAACCCGTCCGAGACAAGATGAAAAACAGTTTCAAGACTCTGTCTCATTCAAAGACTAGACCTCATCTTTGTTCCGTCTGAGCTCATTCCCGACTGATCCGACCACATCTTGAAATCGCCCGCGTCGTCCTGATATCTATCTTGGACCAGATCTCATTCCATCGTCTCAAGATGCGCTCTTTCACTTGGGCTGCTACGTGCCTTTTCATTGCCCGCTCGGCTCTGGCTTACGACCCCTACAACATCACGGCGAATTATGTCATCAACAACAAGAACTACTACGCCCGAACCTGGTATGGCGATGGCGAGCTATATATCGGCTCGGCCGTTCCAGAGGGCGTAGCCACGGTGACAAACTTTACCGGTATGATGCCTAAATTATCCTCTTGCTTTGCTTGCTTGCTTGCCGCTTCATTTTTTTTTCTTTATCCGTGACATATTGTTACATACACGAAATGGCCACTGATGTGCCGCGATTGACTGGGCCGACTGGCTGACTAAAACTTCCCCCCAATGCAATATAGTCCCTGCAGTCCGAGCAGACCTCCTGTACGTCGAGGCCACGGGCTCAGACCTCAACCTGGCCGACACAACATTTCTCGTCGTCAATAATGCGTTAGGCGCCTCGGAACCCGTCTTTTTTGCCGACGACGCCAGCGGGCTGGATGACGACGACCTCATCTACTGGTTCCGTTACGATACTCTGCTCTTCCCCATCTTCAACGACGGCACCGGCCAGTCTTACTTTTACCTGGCGGCCACCAGCGCCCCGGGCACCTACCTTGTCAAGTGGGTGCAGGGCGGCATCAAGTCGCCCCATAAGCCCACCTCGGCCGCCGACCTGGATGGAGCTTCGGTGCAGCTGACTGCCGTTGCTCCCAATGTATAGATATAGATGGACCAAGTAAGACAGAATGTCGAGTCTAGGCGCAGTCATTGTATTGGAAAGCTTGCAAGCTTGAGCGAGTGAAAGGGGACAAGACAAGCTTGTAAAGTCCTTGGGTTCGGATATGAGAGATGTATGAGCCGAGTGAGCATAACAACAGCATCATTATCAATCATCATTCAGCGGCCACAACAACAGACTATCAAGTCTCGGGGGAGGGGGAAAGCTGGTCTGAATAGTACTCGACGTCATTATTTCGCAACCTGGCCGTCTAGTCATTGGTGTCATTTACCAGCCAGCCATATGCTATATTTGTACAATAGAAATTTTGGGTGCCGTATTGCGTTCATCAATGGCCGTTGCGCCAGTCGTAATCCGCCGGACCCCCCAGAAATCGCGGTATCATCCAGCCAGTAGTAGTAGTAGTAGTAGTAGTAACAGTAGCAGCAGTAGAAAACCAAGAAGAAATATCAAAACGCCCTCTGAACAACGCGAGGTCCGGTCGGCATTTCCCCACATTGACGCCTTTGGCTGAGGGATGGATGAGCCTCAAGCCAAACAAAAGACCTATGTACATGAAGAAGTTATTTTTTGTATATGCGTCCTTCTTTCTAAGTTTTTTTTTTCCTTCTTTCCCGCCGAATAATACCATTTCCTGGCATTATTTTTGTTGTGGTGTCTGCTCGGCCGGTATGGGTCATGGCCATGCAAATCATTGAGCGTCGAGTTCGAGATTGGCTCGAGCCTTGAAAACCAGGGCCAGTCAGGTAGGTGGATTGCTTCAGTCCTCCCGAGTCATGGAAAGGATGGACAATTGGCAGAATCTGTGTGGAAATGAGGTAATGCCAAAGGTGGAGAGCCGCCAATACATCGGATTCAGACCACAAATGCTCGGTACTTTGTCAATGGCTTTGAGGCACCGCTTTTTCCTGGTTCACAAGGCCCCATGGCGTTGGTGAACATGGTGCTTATGGCGGTATCCGAGGCGCACAAGTGATGGTTATTTTAAGCAGTGTTTCTCCGGATAAAGTACGCCCTGTGGAACCATGGTCAGCTTCTCCTTGTGTGCATCCTTCTTCCCTAGACTTACTTTGAGAATTCATAGGCGGACCAGCAGATGGCGGTGCTGGGCATCGTCGTCACAACTCTAGGCTTCATTCCCTTGAAGAAGCCTCTCAGGCCCTCCCTTTGATACATGAGTCTGCATCCGGCCGTAAATCCATTGACGGAACGAAGTTCGGCATCGGCTGCTGATCCTCGCGTCTGCAACATGGTCTTGATAACGTCCATCGGGGTTGTCAAAGCAGCGGCAAAACCACCGGCGACGGCACCGGCCGTACAGTGTGTAAGTGGGTCATATTTCTTGTCGGGGTTCATGCTCGTGGATATCGACTCGTAGGCCAGGAACTGCAGAGCTGTGAAGGGGACGGTCATGGACAAGGTGGTGGGATAAGATACGTAGAAGGCCGACAGGCCCTCGTTCTTGTAGACGTATCGTGCGCAGTCTAGCATAGACCGGTACATCTTACTAGAGTTTTGAATCTGCATGCGCTGCTTGATGACTAAAGGGGAGAAGCAACCCAGTCAGTCGAGAACCGCACCTAAAGATCCAGAGCCCAACTTACCGTCAAAGGGGTTCATAAAGGCGTCGCTGGCAATTGTTGCGGCCGCTCCGCTGGTTGCTAGTATGGCGTGTTAGATCCCGGTGGTCCTGATTTTGCGCCGTGCGCCTCCTAGGGCTGTATCACTCACCAGCAGCCAGGGGATGGTGTTGTCCCGCCTGGTTACCTCCCATGGCATGTTTGACGGCCTCGTACGTGGCAAAATATACAGCGTGCGCCGGACCTAGACATGACATGTCAGCTGTGGACGGTCGCTCAAGGGGAACGAGCAAAACTCTGAAGTTCAGACGTCCCGAATGGGGGCTTAAACGCACCGGCTCCTACCACCACGCTGGACATTCCTCTCCATAGCTTTAGGATACCCTCTCCCGAGGCAATCTTGACTGTTCCCTCGATCATGCCTTTGTACGCGGTGCCAGAGTTGACAAGCTGCATGCGCGTCTGTAAGTTTCGACATGGTTAGTCTAGAGATTCATTATGGAGGGGGATAAGCTATGGCAGGGCGAAGAGTTGCGCACCTTGATCGCGTCGATTGGGTACATGACGGTATGTTCCTGTGAAGAAAGACGGATGTATTGTTAGTCGCCATCAAGTACCAAGGAAGTAGATTCGAGAGGCGGTTGGGCGGGGACTCACGGCGATACCAGCAAAGGCACCTGCGGCCATGTTCTGCGCCAGAGAAAAGTTGGGCGGCAGAGCTTCATAGCTGCAAGGCAAAGTATAGTCAGTTATTTGTTCGTTGATTTGTCCAATCGCTCAGTGATTTTGAGCCCAAGAAATCTCTCTCCTTCGCTCTCTCTCTCTCTCTCTNTCTCTCTCTCTCTCTCTCT